CCCACCCCCGCCTTCTTTAATAACTCTCCAGTAACACCTCTAATTTTGGCACTTATAGTATGACCTGTCTTTTGTGTTTCAAACTTTGTAAAAATTCTTACTTAGACTAGAACTATTCTGGCGTTGTAGGGCACTTGACCTAGTCTGAATCCTACTCTTCCATCCTAGTGGGGGGCTGGCAGGTGTTCAGAAGTACGTGACTCATTCTTTCTTATCATATTTGTACGTTAGTTTCTAGTAACCCCTCTAATCTTCTGCACTGATATGACTTATATTTGTCCTGAAAGTACGGTAAAACCCGTAAAGTAAAATCTTACTAAAGCTCAAACCTTCCGCCCGCCCCCAGGATGAACGAGGTGGTGGCGAACGTGCTGCAGTACAAGACCAAGATTGACCAGCTCAAACAGGAGAGCGCGAGCATGAAGACAACCTATGAGGTGAGTCCCCTTAGTCCGCAGTTGGTGTCAACCTCAAGGCCCGCGGGCCGCATCCGGCGGGTGAACATTTGGTCGCTTTTAAGGACAAGCGGGCTAACCCGGATTTCGGGTTTCCAGAAATCTTGACCTGCACCCAAAGTGAGCAATGCCCTACCTATTGGAGAAATTTGGTTTCATTGGTGTGTATATTTGTTTGGTTATAGAGAAAACTCTCCTTGTTTTTTTTAAAGAAACTGAATAAGGGGCATATACTTTACTTTCAATTTTCTCTGAACAGTATTTTTCTGGATAGCCCCCTTGTGCTTAAAAGCGACCATTTATATCCAGCCCGAGAGAGAATTTCGTGGCAGTAGAGTCCATTTTGAGAATCTCCATAACACAGAACATTACTGCAAATGTAATCGAACTTGGTGTCAAGAAAAGATGCCAAATATCCAGCCTTGATGAACTGACATAAGACCTATGTCGAGTGTGGTCGACGCTCTGGAGTGGTTTTCTCCTTCTTTCATATGAAAGATAATATGTCTTCCTTTTCTCTCCTCCTTCTTATGTTTGTTTGTTACTCCCCTGTAAAACCTCTAATCTTCGGCACTTCTGTTATGACCTAATTGTGTTACAAGTACAGTACACCTCTAACTAAAACTAGACTTTTGTCCTTGCACGGAGAAGACTCAGATTCTCTATCCAAGCAGGAACGTTTATTTTACCACATCTCTGTCCATCTCCTTGGATCTTGTGTTTCAATCCGCCTGGGTTGGCATCAGTTGTGCGCCCTTTAGATAATCTGAATTGAATTGAAGGCGTAAATTAGTGTAGTGTTGAGATGCCCATGTTTGTTACCTTTCAGAATAACCTACAGAAGTATTGTAACCACCTGAGCACGCTGGAGAGAGACAACGTGATGCTAATGAACCAGGTCAAGAAAATGGAAGCCCAGGTATTTAACACATTTCACGTTTCTCAATACTTGTATTAAGGTATCAGTTCATGTCCTTGTGCGTTTTCTTTTACTGCTGTGAAGGTTTCATTGTCTGAATTTGCTACGCACGTTAAAATGAAATGTATACATATGTTTGCCTGTATATCGGGCTATCTGTCTCCTCTCCCCCCC